TTCTCTCCACAGGGTCTCTCGGTCAGCCAAACGGCACCTCGTCTCGTGTTCTCATTTTCGCTTGCGAGGCGACTTGATCCGCACTCCTCTCTGGCCTTCTCGCCTTGAACATCTTCTCTTGCAACCCCAAGAACGAAGCTCCTACCCCATACTTTCCTTGCCTCGCCGTTCATGTCTGGCGTTCTGTCGTGCAACAATCCCACGACTGTAGCCCCGTGGCACCCAACTGACACGGCTCTCCGCGCCATAGATCTGCTCGAAGACCAATCCCCAGTCCGCTCTCTCTGACGGCCGCCCTGTCCGCCGCGAGCCCGTCGCCAAGCCGGTCAAACTTTCCAGCGCCAGCGACGGCTCCCATCCTGAGGACCGCCATCCCCTACAGTCCAACGTCACCCGTCGACGAGCCGCGCTCTCCGAGGGAAAAGCTGGACGACCTGCTGGCCACAGAGAGGACGTATTACCAGAGCGACTCCTCTGGAAAATCGACGCCCGATCCGACATTCTCATCGTTCGTCACGACTCAAGCTCTCCGGCGCCCAGCTGCCTTTCCCGTCTCGCTGACACAATCCCTGGACAGACCCAACGCACCCTCCCACGCCACGAATGACAGTCGAAGTGTCTCCGACCCTGTTGCGCCCCGCAAGCCTGCTGTCATAGGCTTGCCGAGATCTCCGATGCCTCCCGGCATGGCTGCCGGTCCCTCGGCTGCTTCCCGGGCAGAGCCGACAAAGGGTGCCCCCCGAACCTCCTCCATGGACTCCGCCATATCCGCTGCGACCAAGACGAGCTCGCAAAAGGGATCGCGAGAGCTCGAGACCGATCCGCAGGATATTGCCGGCCTCATCAAGACGGCCGGCAGCCCTGAAGCAGTGATCCAGTATCTGTTGAAGGAGAAGCAGTCCCAGGCACAGCAGAACGCGCAGCTATGGCGCCTCGTCGACAAGCAGCGCGCTATGATTCTTGGCCTCAACAAGGACCTGGAACGGTCTCTGAAGGACAAGGAGAAGTACCGTAAGAAGCTGAAGGAGGTCATGTCCGTTCCGGAATTCGCCAAATCCGCGGGCTTGAAGAAGTCTGGAAGCGTTGCCGATGTTCTGGGACGATCAGTCCCCAAGGTGGATGTCCATGGCCCGACCGACCAGCAGCCCGCGGCACCCGACTCCCCTAGCCTCGACTCCGACAGCCAAAAGCATTCTCCCACCGACCTCGCCATGGCTCCGTACCCGATCACGCCCCCCGCCGACCAGCCACACAATGGCCCTCCATCGGCTGTGGGTGAGATGCTCGATCCCTCTCACACAATGCCCAAGCCTCAGGAGCATGCGTACGATCGATACGACCATGAGGCGGAAGAGAAGGCAGAACAGGTCGCAAGGCAGCAAGATGACCAAAGACAGCTTCAAGAGCTGCCGATCAATCTTGCTCTGCCGCCATCTCGAAGTTTGCCGAGCAAACCGCCCAGGATGCCTCCTCCAAACCCCCCTGTGGGACCTCATTCGCCTGTCGCCGGTTCACACGCCAGCCCTCAGACGGACGAGGGTCTCGCGAAATTCCCGGCACCCCCGCCCCGCAAAGCACCACCCGCGCCCCTTCAACTCAACAAAGAACAAAGTGTGATTCTTGACGAGGACGAGACAGATTCCGATTTTGATGACATTCTTCAAGTGAACAGGGACGTTGACCCCAAGCGCGGTCGACGGAGGACCAGAGAAGAGGACGACAGGATGCGAGAGATTCTTGCCCAACAGGAAGCAGAGAGGCGTAGCCTGTCAAAGAAGAGCAAGTCGCAGAGCCAGAAGAGCACGCCCACAGAGCCCGAACACCCGGGACGCTTCGAACCCATACCGCCAAGCCCAAGAGAGATCCCTCAGCAGCTTGCGCTGCAACAAAACGGCCCGGCATCCCTTGCAGGCGTTCTCTCTGGAGATCCCATTCAGACCACTGTAGTCACTGGCCCCTTGAGCCCCGGACTCCCCCAGTCTCCTCGCCCGTTCGGCGCTGCGCCGTCAGGAAACGCAATTTCGCTGGCAACACCTCGAACGGGGTCTCACCTGCAATCCGCCCCCCTGTCCCCGAGACCACCGCGGCAGCCGATTCCTCTCCCGCCGGGCACGCCGCTTGCTTCGCCGCCGAACATGGCGGGCGAGCCATTGTCCCTGAAGAGCCCCCAGCCACTGGCCATTATGAAGTCTCCAGAGACGAACCGGCAGGCAAACTCGGACAAGCCACGCGCGAGTCCCACGGAACGCAGTCGCGTCTTCAAGGGATTTGTCTCGGAAGAGTATCCCGACCTTCTCCTCCCTCCAAATGCACTGCCCTCGATCCAGATCAAGGTTGCTTCGTCACGCATGAAGCCGTCACGAGCCAGTGTATTATCCCTGACACAACTCGAAGAGGACCCCGTGTTCACTCTGGCTGTGTTCAGCCGCGCCGACGGTGCAGAACTCTGGCGCGTCGAGAAGGATCTTGCGTCTCTTGCTAAGCTCGACCAGAAGCTGAAGAACTGCTCGACCGTGACGATCAAGGCTCCCGATAGGGCACTGTTCAGCGGACACGCGCCAGCGAAACTCGACGCTCGCCGCATTGCACTAGACTACTACCTCGAAGAAATACTGGAGACACAGCTTGACCAGACGGCCGCGACGGAATTGTGCAAATACCTCTCGACTCACACTCTGCCTCCAAACTTTGACGAAGCTTCAACCCCCGACATCATCGAGTCAGCCAACGCGAGAGCCGGCCCCGGCGGTCGACCTTTCCGCAGTGGCTACCTGACCAAGAGGGGGAAGAACTTTGGCGGCTGGAAGGCTCGCTTCTTTGTGCTGGATGGACCTCAGCTCAAGTACTTTGAGGCACCCGGCGGAGCTCACCTTGGCACCATCAAGCTGCCTCATGCTCAGATTGGCAAGCAGTCTCAACACAACGAGAACCAGTCACCAGCTCCTGGTGCGAATGGCGACGACTTTGATAACCAGTACCGACACGCGTTCCTCGTCCTGGAGCCGAAGAAGAAGGATTCGAGCAGCCACGTAAAGCACGTGCTCTGTGCGGAGAGTGACATGGAGAGGGATCAATGGGTAGACGCCCTTCTTCGGTGGATTGACTACCGTGAGCCTGGCGAAGAAGACAGCCGGTCCGGAAAGGACTATACTCACGACAGGCATGGCTCGGTCGGATCGGAACGCAACATGGTGAAGAAGAAGAAGGGAAGGCCAGGCGTTTCCAATCACCAGCCCTCCGACTCGGACAGCCTCATTGGGGTCAGATATGATTCGACATCCCAAGGTGACTTGCCGCATTCGGCGCCGGGACGACCCAAAACATCTGGAGGCCCGCCGGAGCACCCAGGCCATAACGAGGCCGCGCAGGCACCCATGGTCATCTCTGGCCCCAAGGACATGCACGTCATCTCCGACTCGTCCTCGTGGGGGAACAAGCCGCAGGCGCTTCCCGTTCCCAGCTACGAGGAGAAGAAGCAGCGGAAGAGGAGCTTCTTCGGTTTCGGACCGAAGACGACAAGGTCGTCTGGTGACGGTGGCTCGGATGGGCTTTTTGACGGCAGCTCCGCGTCTACGCCACCACAGGGCGCAGGGTACCAAGGCCCGGTCCGCCAGGTGTTTGGAGCGAACCTGGCTGAGGCTGTGCGTTATAACTCGCCTGTCGATGTCGATGTTCCCCTGCCGGCTGTTGTGTACAGATGTATCCAGTACCTGGACGCCAAGAATGCCATTCTCGAGGAGGGCATCTTCCGTCTCAGCGGCTCCAATGTGGTCATCAAGCAGATTCGGGAGCGGTTCAACATTGAAGGCGACATCAACCTCATCACGGACGACGCGTTCTATGACATCCACGCCATCGCGTCGCTCCTGAAGCTGTACCTGCGCGAGCTGCCTACGACGATACTGACGAGGGACCTGCACAATGAGTTCCTGTCCGTCACGGAGATGACGAGCCCCAAGGACAAGGTCGCGGCTCTGAACGCACTGGTACAGCGCCTGCCGCTGGCCAACGCCACGCTTCTCAAGTACCTGCTCGCGTTCCTCATCCGGATCATCAACAATGCCGACATCAACAAGATGACGGTGCGCAATGTCGGCATTGTCTTTTCGCCGACGCTCAACATCCCGGCACCCGTGTTTGCGATGTTTCTGCTTATCTACGAGCCCATTTTTGGCGTCGATAAAAAAAAAAAATTGAGCTCCCGCCCCCCTTTGTTGTTTGGGGGGG